ATATCGGCCGAGAAAGGCTCTACGCATATTAATTGGAATTTCAATCGAATCTTTTTAGAGGAATCTCTATTAAATGCAAGGCGTTCATATTTATTTGATAATATTTATTCGATTCTATTTCTGATCATATATTTCTATTCTGAGGTTCGTATGGGTCCGTGACTATCTGGAGTCGGTTAATTTAAATAGATATATCAATTCATATGATTTAAGGAAACACCGCTCGGGGGTTCCAAAAGCTCTAGCAAAAGAAGATATTGATAAAATATAAACTTTGCTTTTTTTCGACTAGTAATAGTAAATAAAATATATTGATAATAGGAATTATCATTAGAGAATTGCTAAATTTTCTTTTCTTTGGTCCTCGTTCTACTTCTCGATTTTGGTATATACGAAAATGATGCCCGCGGTGGATATTAAGAATTTCTAATTCAGGATCTAATATATATATATATATATATATATGGCTTGTCAGTCTTCGCCCATTTATGTTTAATTTTAAAACCTATTATAAAAATCAATATGAATGATATGATATTTCAATAATGGCGTCGATATATAAATAAAAAAATATTGAAATCTATATAAATACCTCTATAAATAAATGAAATATCGATTTTATCGATATCAAAGATATATAGAATGATTCGAATGCAAGATTATTAAATCTTTCATATAGATATATGAGAAAAGATATTATTGAAATATCAAAGATATGAAAGAAATATCGTGATTTTATAAAATTCCGATTTCAATAATTTATAAATAAAATGAAGAAGAATAAATATGCTAATTTTCGTGGAAAAAAATAAGATATATTATTATATATCTAAAAAGATACGAATATTTCTTCGATTCATAATATATTCATAATCAATTACAAAAAATATATCATTTTCGTATTGGGATATTATACCGAAATTCCAAAGAACGAATATGAATCGTATTTCTTAGTGTAGGAGATTCCTTAGTATTAGGACGTCGTTTCGAAATAAACAAGGGGTAATAAATCGTATTTCCCAACAATGGGGCACCACGCCTAAGCCACCATAAACTGCAAAAAATCGTAGCTCCAAGCACTGGGGCACTACTTCAAAGCCCCAAATAATAGCAAATCATTTTTCTTAGCACTGGGACACCGCTTCGAACCGATAATCAACGACAACAAATCGTATTTCTTAACCTTGGCGCACCATGCACTCCGAAACCACAAACAGCGGCAAAAATCGTATTTCTCAGCACTGGAGAACCACTTCGAAATCTCAATAAAGGCACCAAATCGTACTTCTGGGCGCTAGATCTTCACTTCGAACCAATAAATAACGACAATAAACCGTATTTCTTAGCACTGGGGCACCTCTCCGAAACCACGAACAACGGCATCAAAGCGTATATCTTAGCACTGGGGCATCGCTTCGGA